TAGACAAATTGTGATCCATCTAGTCAGCCTTAAGCTTAGAACGGTCTATGGACTAGATGAAGTAAAAGATGGGTTAGCAAAATGAGAGGCAAACATGCTTTTGTGGGCCGAAATTAAACACAGGAGAGAATAAATAAAGAACCTTGGAAATGTGAAAAAAATGATTGGTAGTGTCCAAATTTATATCTAGACCATCTATGTTAATTTTAATATTATGGGGATTTTTATCATCTGATTCGTCCATGAAACACATACTGAGGGAAAATATGCGGATGGTTTTAGTGAAATATACATATGAAGACGTGTAATTTTAAGAAAATAAGAGTACGGTGTAAAAGTGTTACTATATAATACCTAATAAAATGATTTGTCATTAAAGGGTCATATACATGAACGCAACGAGAATAAAGACAATAACCACTCTCGTTAGATTAATAGTCGGTTTCATATTGATGACTTATTATACAAGCTATCTCTAAGCTACAGAATTAGTAATAAATACTTCAGTTTAATACAGAGTCTGTGAAGTACAAAATCAAACAAGTCAGCTAACTCAACAGGGACCCTGCCGGGCATTAAACGTACAATTATTACTTTACTATTGCATCCTAAATAATTGTGAATCTTCCTTCTGAACTGGAGAATGGTTAGTAAAAGGTTTTTTTATGGAGGTCAGGGACAAAAAAGTCAGGCTATAAGAATGTATTATTATCATCACAAGCTGGGAGTTGTATATATCTCCAAAATAAATATAAAACAATTGTGATAAAATACATCAAATATTTCTGAAATCAAGGTATCTTTTGATATGAAGTTCAAACATAGTTTCAACTCTAGCAAGTATGAGTGTATATGCATTTGACATACTGGTGAGAATTTGTACAAAATTAACTCCTACACAACTGGGATACATGTAATTGCAACTTTTAGAATTTGAAATGGCTTATTTATTTAGTGAAATGAAATATGTTACTTATTAGTAGTAAACATCTGGTGACCAAACTAGTCAGCCATAATTTGAATGGATCTCGAAAGCAATTAAATAATATTAGACAACATACTTATAACCTATCATGTTCTTACGCCCATCTTTTTACTGATGGCGGATTAATATTTACAATATGTCATATAATATAAAACAAATATTTAATATCGACAACTAACAGTTTAAAGTAAATAATATTCATCAATGAGAGCTTATAATATAAAAATGATTAACTAGATTGAAGCTTCACATTATTTGATGAATTGGGTAGCATTAGGTTACAATATGTACTCGACATATACGACTAATTTATCACTGAGTAGTGACTAGTATTATGTTTGAATAATCTTTTAGTGTTGATAGAATTCTGTCGATTAGCAAATTGAAAGAATTAAACATGACGTTTGTCATTCACTACTTCGTGGTTAGTCAATTATAAATATCTCGATCTTATAATTTATTTGAGACCCGAATAGCTCGGTGGTGACGTCTTAAACTGTTAAGCTGGATGATGCGAGTTCAAACACACTAGAAAGTATCACTATCCTCAAGGTTAAAATTGAGCCTTGTGAAGAGGGCCAAGTAGCATGAAAATTCGGTTTTTTTTTATCTACCTCCAGTCGTCGAATATGCACTCAATGTACTTGTCATCTTGATACTGACAGTGCCAATAGACATGAATGAGGTTGTTGTGAATAACTACAGAATAATGGAGCAGGATACTGACTAGTTATAAAATATTCTCTTAAGGATTGATTACCTTCGATTGACCACCATTGAGTAATGCAAACAGACTTCAGGTTCTGAGAACGAAGTCAGTTTAGTTATGCGAAACGTAGAATCTGACACTTGTTTGTCAGTTCAAGTTACTACATCATATCAGGATAGTTAGATAAGTCCTATAGTAGAAAAGATTGGATATACAAAAAAGCAGGTAACGGGAGATTATGTCACTCCGTCCTTAGAAAATACCAGGAGTGGACGGACCTGCGTCACTGTGACCGATTTTGAGCCGCGTTACCCAAAATCTTTAACAATTGCTTATGATAATCGAGGACCGTAACAAGATAGTCGGCATCTGTCTACATGACTTATACCAACAGTCAATTACATCAGGGACTAACACCACGTCTCGGTTTGATTGTCCCAAGTTTTCTTCCAAAATACTGCTGCACCAAAAAAATGTCCGTTCTGAAAATGAAGTATGTTAGACAATTTATAAAGAAGCATAAATCTCTAGAATGCTAGGTATATAGCATTTGTAAAGCAATATATTGAGAATTACGACAATGAAGGAAGAGTAAACGAGTATAAGCATAAATAGTATTCCAGATAAAAGCCGAATAAAAAATATGCTGATTAACTGGTCAAACTCACTCTTGAAAAAAATTTAAATTACGAATAACACAACGATTCATCAAGCGAATGTCCGGCGTCATCAAGAATCCTACACAACTACATACAATGGGATGAAGTGAGTTGTTACTGTGTTTATATGATAGTCTTCAAGCCTTTCAAATAATACTCTCTGGTAGTAATGAATAAGGACGCAATGATTTTCAACTATATTTAGTTGAGATGACTTTGAAGGGTGAATGTATACTTGCACACTATTTTGGCAATCAATACACCTATTATATTACATTGGCACTAGTTACCAACTTAATAACTACTAGAGGTGAAGAGCGAACTCCATGATACTAACTTAACAGATTCAAGTCAGCAATATAACTTCTGAAAATAAATAGCACTATACTTAATAATGTCTTTACCAGCTAACAAAACTACTGTGGTATTTATGATTAGTAAGGTATCAATAAACTTAAAACGGACCTACTTTAGTTAGCTATTGTGTTCGCTGATGTGATAAATTCAGATTTCACACTGACTTAATTTGGTAGGACTCCACCCTTGAGGACTAAGAGTGAATATTTTACGTCGATAGCACCTTGGTATCAGATTGTCGGACGGAAATACTTTCTCGACAAAAAACATCCGAAAGTAAGCCTCATTGAATTCATGCAAATTAGGATTTGGACACATCTATTCAGCATAATGGACACATGAAAACAGGAACGAAAATACTGTCCCAGCTAACGAATATCATATTCGAGTTTAACGAAAATTAGCAATCAAAACCAGTTGACCGACGATCTTCTATGACCTTTATAAAATATTTGTATACAGATCTTGATTCGTAACTGTTCAACGTTTTCCTTACGAACTGCAGGAACAAATTACAGACTGAAATGTAGTTTATTTACACTAAGTAATAAAATAGGTACTAACAGCAACCAGTGTACTAATTCTGTTACGCCTTTACTCAGGGAACTATTCAGAATTAAGTAGGACGAATAAGCAAATCACAGGATGCTGCCATATACAAGCACGAGATGCTCATTACCACACTAGCCTAAAACTGTTTATTCTCAAGAGCTGTGGTTCTATTGGGAAAGACTTCTGATAGGTCTAAACGACAAATAACAAACCTGAGTCAGCAAGTGACACGAAACAATCGCATAATCCTCATTCGGTCGAACAATTAGAAGTAGATCAGACCGTATTTCGATTCATAGAACGACATATTTTTGAGGATGGATTCAAAAGTATGCCACCGATAGGGGACAATCAATCGTAACTTACACATCTTGTCTCGTGATCTATGGCGCTTTACTTAAGAGTCAATTAACTGCAGTTTACGACTAGACTTGAACAAAATTTATCAGTCAAGCCAGATTTATGGGGCCACACATTTTATCACTTTGGACTAGCGGGCAAGCCTCGGGTTCCAGAGAATTCCGATGACTCAAATTGCAACTCCAAGCGGGTAAGTTACTTCTCGACATATCTGGTAATTTTGAACAAAGTACGAATAATCATTGCAGAATAAAGTAAATGCTCAAACTGTTCGATTCGAATTGGATGGTCTGACTGATGATACGAACACTTGATTACAGAATAGTAGGTTGCAATCGATGCCCACATCTATTATATGTTAGCTACTGATTGTAGAGGAACATGCATGTAAAGCACATTTTAACTATTAACAAAATGATTTGAAATCACCTTTGATAACAGACAATTAGTTCTCGGCATTATCAAGCGGTAAGAAAAGTTCACAAAATTGTACTAACAAGCTCTTTGGTGATAGGAGTGGCATACACTTACAGGACTTTGGTAACTAATGACCAACAAAAAGAACATAACTAATGTTCTTTCAATCTCATAAAATACTGTCGAAATGAAATTAACATCGCATGACTTAGTAATAAAATATAATCCCCCGATAGTTTCATCAAATACATGTAGATATAGTCTTTAGTGACCATGACCAGTTAAACAAGAGAACATGGAGTTGTGCCTGCACGATAGCATACACACTACAAGAAGTTAGTTTACTAACAGCACACTCCATGATTAGATATAATATACTTGTAGTCCTGCGTCCACCAATACCTTGTATATTAGCACTTATTTATGACAAAAGCAGTAGTTCTAAATAATGGGTAGAAGTTAGCGAATACAAAAAAGTTGCACGCGATCGACTTTCAAAAAGACAGTACTAACTAATGTGCAATGAATAGTAAACCATTGTTTTACATAGAGCTATATGTTGCGAATAACCTGGGACATAATAAATTACGCATGGCCGTTTATTCATACATGTTTCAACACTGAGTTATACGTCCTAGATACAAGAACTGATAAATATCGCATAAGCATAATCTACTAAGTACAAACCTAATAATTTGAGGCATTCTCCAAGCTGTTTGAGAAAAGAAATATGTTAATGTTTAAATACATACGTGTGTGAATATTTACTGCATAATCCGGTGGAATTTCATGTGCTTTCGTCGGGCATTAAATAAAGACAATAAACTAAAGTTTATCAGCGAAACATTTTTACAATAAACCAAAACCTTAAAATATTCAGGGGATGTAAAACTGGATTATACGACTAGCGAATGTTACAGAACAGCAAAAGCATCCACTACAAGCTTTATTGTGAAATTAATTACATTTTGTTTTCAGAATATGGAGCAGTTGGTAAAACTTCTTCTTTAGCGGCCAAAATTGTGACGGTGTCAGGCAAGGGTTTCCGTGGACCTTTTTTGCCGGAACTATCGTGATCCAACATAATTTTGACTTTGATTCCTAGTATACCTAAAGAAAAATAGATCAGTAAGATCTCTTTTCGTCTGCCTAACAGCTAATACTGCTGATAAGACTTACCTTGTGGAAGCTGAACATGACGCACAGCCTTGTCAATGTAATTATTAACTGGATCTCCAGAATGGATCATGAGTCCATCACAAAACTTCATGGCTTTCGCTCTCTGACCCTTAATTTTACCAGAAACGATAACTTCAGCACCTCTCGCTCCAGATTCCATGATGAATCGGAGTATACCATAGCATGCTCTACAAAAGTTTGTGTAAAGATCCACACTTACTTCCGTACAGGCAAACCATATGTCAGTTTATATCTAAGCGATTCCGCCTGTGCAATAGCGCTCAAACCACGGAATGTCATCTTTTCGGCAAACAGTCCCAAGGTACCGTCAGGAAATCCGAAGCGCTTTTGCAAAACCGATGTGAGCTCTCGGATACGGCGTGAGCCCTCACCAAGGACACTCTGGGTTTTTGTAGCTAATATGATGACTTCCGTGTATTTACGGCTTTCACGAACTTGAAAACCGCTGTAACCATCGTCAGCCAATTCACGTTTAAGGAACTCATCTAACTCAGCCTTAAACACTCCAGCTTTTATAAACTTAGTCGGTAAAGAAAGACATGGAGAAACAAACAAACCTTCCGCTTGAGAGATATTTTCCCAACATTCGTCATTCTTCAAGCACGACTTCCTCCACTGGTTCGCGCCGTCACGTCGAAGTTAATTGTGGTGCGCATTATTAACACGAGAACGAACAAACACATGGAAACACAATGTTTTTGCAGTACTGCTTTTGATGCATTAACACAGATATATCGTGGATTTTTATATATGTTACTGCAATCAGTTTCTTACGTACAACTTATTTATGTTAACGAATCAGATTCAACTCTTATTGACAAAATGTTTAGACGATGAAGCATCGTTTTGCCAACTTTGTAAACATTTACGTTAGCTGATCTGTTTTTTCCTTAATTGAACCAGGTAGCTAATAATCTTAGATGTGTGTTTTCGTCAACGATTATGAGCAGTAAATTTCAAACGATCATTGTGGAAACCAGTACTGAGTTCCGTTCTTGGTCATTCAACATATATACTTTGTACCCATAAACCACAGCCTATCATTACTCTGTGTTATACGTCCCCTAATCACTTGACAGAGATCACCAACGTTGATAACCGATAAGTGCTATTAGGCTTTATCTATAGTTCTCTGGCTCAATGTCTTTTGATTGAGGCCAGATGTATTAGAACTGCATAGGTGATAAATATGATTGTGCATTCCTTAATTTACTTAGATCTAGTGACTGTATAAAAAAGTTTTACGCAGATCACGATTCCAGTTTTACAGAAAAAATTACACAGGGTAATATCTACATGATTCCGGAGACTAGTGATACATTGTTTTCGGTGGTTTGAAAAGCTAGGTAACTTCGGTTTATTTTTGTAAAGAATCAGGGGTAGATTTAAGTGCAAAGAGTTCTCAGGAATGACTCTTGTCTTAATATAATTCCTTAGAGGACATATTAGGCATGTTTAAATGCCAAAAACGAACAAAATCTTGGTTGCGTGTAGTTTTTCCTTCTGAATAGCCAGCTTCTAGAATTAACTGACATAATAAATGGTCTCCATACCAACCGACTGAGGCAAGCAAAGAATATAGACACTGACAAAAGTATAAGAAAAGGATTGATTATGGAGTTCAACCTGGTATTTTCAAAATAAAACTTCGGCTCACAAAGTAATTCTATGGAAAATACTGGAAAACTCTAAAGGGAACTTAGCATTTGTTAAGATTATTTCTGTTAGATACTTCTTGTGTATTATTTATGAAAATAGTGAGAATAACCCCACTCCAATACTTGAGTGGCGGTTCATCAAACGTTTTCACTACTCATTTTGCAATCAGTCAGATCCGTCCGTTAATGGTGCGATCTGACGAATACTCATTATTCTCCCTTAAAGTAGGGCTAACAATTCTGATGTATTCATCATTGTATGTTTTATTTGTGTTTTGGTCGTTATGACAGTAGAATAATCCACTTTTCATTTGCCTTGATATTTTAGTCCACTACTCGCCCTCATGTAGATTTGCACTATCTGTCCTGACCTTTTTCTCTGTCATTACATTTCGGTGGTTGCTGCATTTGGTGACCGTATTTTCGATTGTTCCTGTATGACTGATTTATTTGAATAATGGACGTAAATCACCTTTTCTGTTTGCTGGAAACATGTGTTGATGTTAAAATAGTTGGTTGCTCATATGGTGAGTGGGTTCGACTGAAACACTCACTGTGAGCGTTCCTTGATTATCATGAACATTATTCACTCTTCGACTGGTAAATGTTTTTCAGCCCACTAACAATATACTTACATGATGTATGTCAGATATGTGTGTGCAAAACGATTTGTCAAATAACTTTTCGGGCTGCATAACCTCGTACTGTCTATACTGTATGCAGCAACCTACTGTGTAGAAAAATTCACTGGGGATGGATGGTATATACACTGTGAAAATTATCAAACTGGATGAAAAGGCAACACTTAAGTTAAAGTCCTCTGGGCAAAATGAAAAGTGGCAGATAAAAAACACACTTTGCCGGAGATTAGAGACGGACATCAAAGGGACGAATAGCAACTGAAAACAACAGGAAAGAAGGGCTCAAAACAGAGTTAGGTGGAGAATTCTGGTGAGAGGCCTATACTCCCCCATGAGAGGTTACAGGATTAAGTAAATGAAGTAAAGTCATCCATCCGAGCATTCTGTACAATTCACAGTTGTAATCCACATAGCCAGAACAATGCCCAACCCAAACTTTGTGTCTTGAATTTTCGCCTGACCGCGTATCTAACGTTTCACCAAAAGATACAGAGGATACATAGAATAGAATTTACATAAGTTTGGACGTAACGTTCTCCTGCTTATTTTTCTTCTAAGGAAACAAGATACAAATTATTTGAAACGATGCATCTTTTATATAAGGGAGGAATTATGCCCTGGAACTGCGAAAAATACCGACTAGTGAACAACACTTATATTAACTGCACGAAATAGATATGTGGGCTTTGTTTTGAGTTTATTTTCTGATACCGCCGAAGTATCAACGTGTGTGTCGGCTGTCAATTGAGGTATTATAAGGGAAGGAGTTGTGTCGTGCGATCGTATTAAGGGAAAACCGACGTGAATAGGATTTCCTTCTAAATACGCTGCTTTGAGGTGATCGATGCTGATGCTTTCGTTGGTTCCGTTCTTATCGATTATATAGTACTTAGGTTCGCGTTGAAGAACTTTGTAAGATCCTTCGTACATTGATTCGAGAGGTCGTCGATGTGTGTCTCGACGTACGAAGACGTGGGTACTACTGTAGTGGCATTGAGCCCTACCACGAGACAATATGAGAAATAGACATTAAACATTTGATGCGGAGAAATACAGAGGAATGGAGAACGCGGGGAGAATGAATTGAATTAGTCGGAGTTGATCGTATGGCATGGCTCGGCCATGCAGGCGTGGTCCCTGATAAATGTTACGTTATGTCTTTTATTCATATTAAATATATTGTTCCATCTGTAGCCTAAGATTGTTCTATATCACGTATTGGTAATTGTTATAATGCAATGAGTTGGTGTAGATTATGATGTGACTTCCACGTAAGATCTTATAGATCAGGCAGTTACATCATAACAAACATACAATTTTAGTATTAGGTCTATTATTAGAGCAGTGCTAATATCATAGTAGACCATAATTCTACACTATATCGTAAGTCAGGTTGAACGAAAACATCAGTTGATTGTGGTCGAGTGGAAACAGGTTTAACTGAACGCATTGCGTTTGTAAGTCTGTTCGCGTAGGAGGTTAGATCCATGTTCATCGAAGAGGATGAAGGATCCATGAATTCTCCTAAAAGTCGAAGTGTTGTTCCATAAACGAGTTGAGACGCAGTGTATCCAATGTCAGGTTTCACTGCATTGCGAATACCTAGTAAGACGAGTGGAAGAGCGTTAGTCCACTGAGAAATGTTTGAGGCTGATAGTGACGCTCTTAGTTGTCGGTGAAAACGTTCTACCAACCCGTTTGCCTGTGGGTGGTAGGCTGTCGTTCGGAAGCGAGTGATTCCTAGTTTCGCGGTCAGACAACGGAAAAGTTCAGATTCAAACTGACGTCCACGATCTGTAGTGATTGTTGTTGGGCAGCCGAAGTTTGCTACCCATCGTTCGACGAAGGCGCGGGCCACTGTTACAGCAGTAATATCTTTGATGGGTACTGCTTCTGGCCATCGAGTAAAACGGTCTACACAGGTTAAAATATAAGAATATCCATTTGAGTCTGGTAAAGGTCCTACCAAATCCAAATGAACGTGGTCGAAGCGAGCATCGGGAGTGTTAAACGAGCCTAGGGGACTTTTGTTATGTCTAATCAACTTAGATTTCTGGCAGCTTACACAGGAGCGTGCCCACTCCCTCACGACTTTATTCATACCAGGCCAACAAAACCGTTCTGCTATATGCTTGATGGTTGCACGAACACCTGGAAGATAGAGTCTGTGCAACGTATTAAAGACGTTGCGTCGATATTGTTTCGGCACGATTGGGCGAACCCTACCTGTAGATGTGTCACACAGTAAGGTTTCCTTACCTGTTCTCATCTGTTTGATGCGCAGTTTAAGTGTTGTTGAGGATAACTCGTGCTGAAGATCACTGTCTTCTTTTTGAATTTGGGCGAGTTTTAAAAGGTCGATTCCTTGGAAACTGTTCAAGGAATTTATGCGAGACAAGGCGTCTGCAACTACATTGTTTGCTCCAGAAATGTGTCGAATATCTGAAGTAAACTGCGAAATGTAGTCCAGTTGTCGAGACTCGCGTGTTGAGTACTTGACTGAAGATGAGCTTAAAGAGAAGGTAAGAGGTTTATGGTCGGTAAAAATGGTGAATTCACGGCCTTCGATATAGTGTTGAAAATGTCGAACAGCACAATACATAGCCAGGAGTTCCCTACCGAAAGTGCTGTACCTCGATTCAGTGTCTAGCAACCGTCTAGAGAAAAATGCCAAAGGTTGCCAGGAGTGGTTAACCCATTGTTGTAAGACTGCTCCGATTGCTGAGTCGGATGCGTCTACTGCGATACTGTTGGGTGCTTCAGTTTCCTGATGAGCAAGCATTGTTGCTTGAGCGATATGTTCCTTAACTGTGGAAAATGCTTTTCGCGCGGTGTCATCCAGATTGATGGGTGATCCAGAATGGCCGCCACTTTTGTTCTAAGGGATCGGATACCTTGCGCATCCATAGTGTGTCCTAAGAAGTCTAAGGAGTCGGTTCGGATTTGGCATTTCTGAATGTTTACAGTAATGCCATGTTTTTGTAGTCGGTCGAAAACAAGATCCAGATGCTGGACATGCGATTCTCTGTCCAGACTTGCTACTGGGCAATCATCAACATATGCATGTACGAAGTTGAGACCTCGAAAAACATCATCTATGAAACTTTGGAAAGTCTGTGCTGCGTTTCTCAGACCGAAAGGCATTCGCAAAAATTCATAGGGTCCGAAGGGCGTTACAATAGCGGTTTTTGGAATGTCGTCAGTGGCCGTAGGGATTTGGTGATACGCTTTAACCAGGTCGATTTTCGAAAAAACAGTTGTACCTTTCAAGGTTGCTGTCAAATTGTGAATGTG